TTTGGGAGGTCTTTCCGAGTGTTTTTCGATAATCTGAACCGATCATATTGTAAGGTTCGTCAAGAATATTATTCCTGTAAAAAATCAAATTAATCGGATATTCATAACTCTATAATTAGGTCCTAATTGTTTTTAAAAATTTATGAAAGTTATGTTAATTGTTAATTTTTATGAAAACAAATTTGATTATAGGGCTACAGATATCCAATCAACTTCATGTTTTGTAAGGATAATCTACTCGACAAACTTTACAATATGAATAATTTAGATCATCGAAATATAATCGAGGCGACCTCCCACAAATAGCATAGCAGTTACCGTTTCCCAACACACACGTACGTGTTTGGTGAGGCAATGCAAAGTGATGATAGAGCCCAACAAGACTTGTGCAAGCTTAGTATGTAGATTCCTAAAATCTAAGTAAATTTGGTTCGTTACTATGGTACTTTGAAATCTTCTCCTAATTTCTTATTTATCCTTATATTTTCCAAGTCGGATTACTTTACTATTATTTACTTGTGATGATTTTGTTATAATTTTTTATTACAATAAGACATGGCAGCAAAATATATAATTGAACGATTTAAGTTAAATTTGAAATAAAATGACATTAAAATCATGCATCCTAAAACAATATAACTTTATTTTTACTATTGGAGAGAGATCCATTGTGAAGAATCCTGATTTATATCATCCTTATCGTTTGCCCGCCACATGCTATAATACTTCGTTTTTATTTTTTTTCTGCGGCTGCTACACTAATGCTGTGTTTGGTTGAGGGATTTGGGGAGGGATTTGGAAAGGGAAAGGGAAAATGTGTGTGAAACTATGTGAAATATAGGCATGATTTATTCACATTTCACCTACCTTTTCTATTTTCCTTTCCAAATCCCTTCCCAAATCCCCCAACCAAACACAACATAAAGAACAATAAAATTTCTTAAAGGCCGCATGAATACCTTACATTAGCACCATGGATAATATATAACAAATACCAGAATGTAATGTATCAAATAATAATGATAATAAGCAACGTGAAAATTTAATTAAGCTTTAGAAATTGTTCTGTTGCAGGCGAATATATATCAAAAAAATTGTGAAAACGGAGACTCATAGTTTTGTCCCCTCGAGTAAAATTTCTTGTTCTGCCCTTGTGTACGGCTATAGCCGATATAACAAACTTCAAACAAGTTAAAATATAATATTAGCATAATTGAAACTATACGATCTGTTATAAATAGTCTAAAATTGGTTCTCTACAGTTCTAATTTAAACTCTTCGAAGTTCAAACAAGTATAGCTATTTTTTTCCTATTTATTTTTTAGTAGATTTTAAGACATTCTTACTATGAACTTATATAGTCTTCGCATGTTAACATATGAATGGATGGTGAAGCAGGATCTAAAGCAGCTCCATCAGACAGCTCAATAATGGCAGTATAGTACTATGATGCCTCCTTCAGTTTGTCACCCTCCTTCTCTTCATGGTTTGATATATATATATATAT